GGTTTCAAGCTTCCAATGGGCTATCCCTAATCCTGGAATTGAAAAGAGATGTGCAGCATTATATCATTAGGTCGGATTTCTACCACAGTGATACAAAGATGGAAGGAACAATGCAGGACCATAAAAGAGCAATATTAATAAAATAATTAGGAAATGGTGAGTTTTGAGTATGTATTGTCTTTGTTTTTAATACAATGTATTTGACTGTAAGATTTAAATTTTAATATTGGCTATATTTAACAACCATAAAAATTCCTAACAATTTCAAGAATCAGCTCTTAGGAGTCAGTATCAGCCTACTACAGCCCATCACTGTATATATTACTCTTTTCCAAAGAATTGAAATGATAGTTATTAATCCAGTTTTCACCATTTCATTCTGGTACATAAAGTATGAAAATCTGTAAATAAAGCACATAAGACCAAGCAGTACCTCCTGAAGAATTGTATGATATGTAAGAAATAGTAAGCTATTTAGGAATTTTTAAATCGACTTTACATAACTATCATCATATGGCTATACTGAAATAACATAAATGGTAATCAGTTTCTTTTTTAATATTGATCAAAACTATAAAATGGATTTTCATTAATGTGGCTAGCACATAAATAATAAGTTGTCTAAGTAAAAGTGAAATTATTTAAGGGCTATATAAAATATGAATTAGGGAGAAATATTGTCTGTCAAATGTACTTCTGAAAGAAAAAGAGAAAAGCATTTTGCAAACTTCATCTCATAAGGGTGAGATATATCCAAAATACATTAGGAACTTTAAAATTCAATAACACTACATATATGTAATATGAATTGAAATGCATTCTGCTATCATATATAACAAATTAGAATAAATTTTAAAAATAAAATAAAATTGAAAAAAAATAATACCAGCCATGTGTGATGATGCATGCCAGTAATCCCAGCTACTCAGGAGGCTGAGGCAGAAGGATTGCAAGTTCAAAGCCAGCCTGGGACTGACAAGACCCTATCACAAAATAAAATTTAAAAAGAGCTGGGGAGGTAGCTCAGTAGTAGAGCATTCCTGAATTTAATCCCCAGTATTGAAAAAATAAATAAATAAAACTCAATAACAAAAATCAAATCATCCAATTTAAAAATATAAGTAGACAGTTCTCAAAAATTAAACTCAAATAGTTAACAAATTTATGTAAAAATGCTCAACTTCATTAGCCTTCAGGGAGATGCAAGTCTAAAACCACAATGAGCCAGGTACAGTGGCCCACGCCTGTAATCCCAGTGGTTCAAGAAGCTTAGACAGGAGGATTGTAAATTCAAAGCCAGCCTCAGCAATGGTGAGGCGCCAAGCAACTCAGTGAAATCCTGTCTAAATAAAATACAAAATAGGGCTGCGGATGTGCTGTTCAATCCTTGTACCAACCAAAACTAAACAAAAAAAAAACACAGGGAGATATCATCTCCCTCCAGTTAGAAAGGCCATTATCAAAAAGTCAAAAAATAATAAATGCTGGTAAGGATGTGAAGAAAAGGAAACTCTCATATTCTCATATAAGGTTGATGGGAATGTAAATTAGTACAGCTGCTAAGGAGAACCATTCCTCAAGAAACTAAAAATAGATCTACTATATGATACAGCTGTCCCATTTCTAGGTACATACATTCAAAGGAAATTATATCAGCATAGCAAAGAGACCTGAGCCACCATGTTTGTTGCTATACTATTTGCAATAGTTAAGATACAGAATCAACCCAGATGCTCATTAATGGATGAATGGATAATGAAAATGTGACACATATACACAATGGAATAGTATCCAACCATAAAAAGGAATGATATCTCATCATTTGCAGCAAAATGAACGGAACTGGAGGACATTATGCTAAGAAAAATAAGTTAGACACAGAAAGACAGATACCACACATTCTCCCTCACATGTGAATGTTTTTTTCTTAAGTCAATTAGAATGTATAACAGTGACTACTGGAGGCTGGGAAGGGTGGGGAGGAGTACATATATGCAAGTTGGCTAACAGATACCCAAACACAAGTAGATAGAAGTAAAGTGTCTACAGAACAGTGGGGTGATAAGTTTACAATGACCTATTACATGTTTTATAAAGAATAAGAAGAGAGGATCTAAAAGGCTCCAATCACAAAGCAATGATGAAAAAATAGAAATATGAATCTCCATGATTCGTTTAGTACATATACTGAAATATCACAAGGCACACCACAAACATGTTCAGTAATTACATGTTAATCAAAAATATCTTCAAATGTTTAAGGAGACAGAAATATTAACTATCCTGACTTGACCATTACATACTGTATGCATGTATAAAATTATCACATTGTACACCATCAATTCGTATAATTAAAATAATAATTTTTAATATCATGCTAAGTGAAATAAGCTAAACTCAGAAACCCAAAGGTCAAATGTTTTCTCTCACATGTGGAAGCTAGAGTAAAGGAAAGGAAAGGGGAAGGGAAAGATAGGATAATATAAAGAATCAATCAAACAAATTAATAGATGAACAAAAGGAAGTCAAGTAGAAGAAAGAGAATGGGAGAGGGGAGGGAAGATAGGAGGGATGGAGTGGGGGAATCATGAAGTAAAATCAATCTCCATGCATGTTTGAGTTTGTCAGGATGAACCCAACTACTATGTATAACTATAAGCTCTAATAAAATAATAACAACAATAATGTTAATTAAAAAAAAGAGAAAAGCAACATGCAACTTTGAAATGCATTGTCATACAGAACTCACACAACACCTGACCAAGAAATAAGTGTGAGCCTCTTTAGGGGGAAAAAGGTAATTCAGTTTGGAAGAGTGGGGGTTCTCTCTTGCCACTGGACAGACATGCCACCATTGCCTGAGCTACAGTCAGTGGAAACATGCTGACTTGTGCTGAAACTTGTCCCTTCACTGACACAGAGGGAAAGAAGGAACTGCTGAAGGTCCCAGGCCACCCTCTTACTTCTCCGGAGTTGATGCCATGGGAAACCAGGTCATGTGGGTACGAGAACCAGACGGGTGTGAGGCGGATCCTGGCTTTACATCATGCTGGTTGCAAAGGGGCAAGTCACTTAAATTCTTTGAATCTCAGTTTCCTGAAATATAGAAGATAAAAAAGAATATCTTATCAAGTACAGCTGAAGATAAAACACGCAATACACTTTACTTGGCAGAGGGTTCCACTGTTCTAACTAAAACCATAAAACCACCTAGAGATGTATGAAGACGTATTTCTTTCCTGCTCACCCAGGGACAAATAGCCACTTTGAAAATAGCAAAGAAGGATTCTGGACTGTTCAATTATATCTTCTCCCAGTTTTATTGGTAACATGATCCAGAATAGAGGATGTTTTCTGTATTGGTTCCCGTCCTTCCTCCTACTACGTCAAGAACTACACTAAACTCCAAACACACACGTTGAAGAATAGCAGTGGTAACAGCTGCAATAGGAGTAGTGATAGTTTAAAAAAAAAAAACTAACTTATTATGCACTGACTGTTGGATAAAAGATAGGCTTCTGCCTATACTAATTGACACTTTGGTGTAGGGGAACATATTTACATAGTAATTGCTTGGGTAGAATTTTCACAGGTTTTTGCCAACCCCAGAAACTGTGTCCCAATGGAACCTAAATGCTGGCAAACAAATTCATAAGCAAATCTACATATCAAAAAGTTAAATTAAAACAGATTTCTTTTACTTTCTCTGAATAATTCTGTCTAACCGTTTTTGGGGTGTGTGGGGGCGGGGAGAGCTTATCCTGAATAAAGTAGACATTGGTGAAGAAAATGTGGTCAAGAGAGGGAGTAAGAATATTACAGATAAGTGATTTGACAATAGTTGGGATATAATTAACTTGAAGTTAACAATACAAGGTAGGGTTGCTCTTTAACTTATAAATCAATTTAGATTAGTTGAAATAAGCTGTCACTTAGGATTGGTAATGGATATTTTCTTTTTAAACTCTAATCTTCCTCATCTTTCCACTTTTCACCAAGGAACAATAAATATTAGCCTGGTAGCCATGAATTTGATAATAGAAGTGTATGAGTCTTTAAATAGTTGAACAACACCAATAGGTATATATAACATTTTCCTGCAACAAGACTGCATAGGCTAACTTAAGTTGACAATGCTTCTTTGCTTTCATCATGAATTTTATGAAGTTATTGCAGTAACTGGTTATCTTAAGTGGATTAGCTATCATTAGCACCATGGAGGTTACTGATGAAATATTGTTTCAAAACCAGGGGCTCCTGTTAAGGGGAGGGAGGCATTGTAATACAAGACCTCTGGGGCTGGGGTTGTGTCTCAGTGCTACGTAGAGAGCTTGCCTAGCATGTGAAAGGCACTGGGTTCCATTCTCAGCACCATATATACATAAATTTTTTTAAAAAAAAGATCCATTGACAACTAAAAAATATTTTTTTAAAAAAAGGCCTCTGCTTCTTAAAAGCTTAGATACCAAGCTTAGTTTCTAAGTGTGTTGTGTTTGACATAAAATAACTTAGCTAATCCAGCAATATAATGCAGAAATAATTTATGAAAAAAAATTCACAAATTTCCATGCATTAGTGTACATTGCTTCAGGAGAATAAAAGAGTTTTCAAAACACATTTGTGTTCCAAAAATGCATGTAGTTACATAAAAGTCCATTTGAACAGCCTAGGTGTTACATCTTGGACTTGTGAGATCTCAGGGAAAGAATACATTTGCATTTCAACTACAGTTTTAATCTGAGGTTTCAATGAACAATATTTAATGCTTAGTCTTTTTTTTTTTAAGTGTATTGTTTCTACTCTTAAGGTGTGTCTGACAAGAATGTTCTTAGATTGTCCTCTGTAATTTCGGTCTTATATATGACATTTCTGTAGGAGCTTAAAATAATTTGATGCATGACTTTTTCCCTCCAGTGTTTCTTATATTTCTCAGTAAACTATTTTGGTCCCTTCTTTTAGCAAAGTCATGAAAATTAATACATAATATGTTGTTCATACAGAATTATGAAATTTCATGTGGCCAAACGGAAATTTAAGGAAACATTACGCCCATATGATGTAAAAGATGTCATTGAACAATATTCTGCTGGTCACCTGGACATGCTATGTAGAATTAAAAGCCTTCAAACACGGTAAGCAACAAAAACATTATCCATTGTAAAGGAACAAGCATGAAAACCATCTGGGAGCAACTTCTCTTTAGCAGACAAAACCTCTGGGTTCCATATTCCTAATTTATTTTTGGTGGGCAATTGAACTTTTGTTTTAATGTAGATTTTACTTTGCTTTTAACATAGATGTAAATCAGCCACTAAAAGCCTCCTGCCATCTCAGTCTCCTCATCTGTAAAAATGGAGAAAATGATAGTGCTTACCTCCTGGGGTTATTCTTAGTATTGAACAATTTAATACATGTAACACATATATGTAATAGCCCTGGCACTGGGTGTTCAGTTGCTGATGTATGAATTATTGCCGATGTTGCAATCGCTTTGTTATTTTCAAAACCAATCAGTATTAAGCTAATCTTTACTCCTTCACTAAACTTTACCCAACTATCTACCCCAGGAAGACAGACCTTTCTCTTCTCTGACCTCTTACAGCACTAAAGTCTAATACAGAGCCAAGGCCCACTCATAATCTTGGTGTGATAGACCAGAGAGTTGAGACTCAACCCCTGTACTGTTATTTGGTTGCAACGGTACTCCCCCTGGATGTCCACTTAGATAGGGCCTTTTCTTCATTGCCGTCAGGTACAGTGATAGATAAGTGTTTTTCTTCCAGTGAGCTCTTATTGAATGATTGAAATGAATGATGAGTTCAACATGTTAATTCCAACCACATGTGGTTGATTGTGGCATCTTCAATCCAAATATTTAGTCAATTCAAGTTTTTTTAAAGAATCTTGCTTTATATTCAGACAAAACAACATTTGTGATTGAACAGCTCTTAAAGTGCAAGGACCTAGGATTAAATGGTTTTTGCATCCCCACAGAACACCTTAGCTTAGAGTGAATCATATACCAGAATTTTCGTAAAATGCCTGATGATCTATTTTAGAAATCACAACTTGCGCATTCATTCAGCAGATAAATATTGAGCCCATTATGTTTGCCAGGCATACTGGACATTTAGTGATTAATAAAATAATGACCCAGTTCTTGCAGAGCTTATAGTTTAATACATTAGATATCATAACAGAAAGTAGGCACTGCCTATGTTTCTGTGCAAGCAAAGCAAACTGGAAAGTTGAGTCAATATCCCTGATAATTCAATTCTAAAACAAACTTTCCACAAAAAGAGGAAAGTGATTCCCATTTCAAGAAGACTGATCAAGTCTCCTTGAAAATTATAACTCATTGTATTATAATCTCTGCCTAGGCAGCCATGATCTTACAAGTCCTTTAATAGAACTATCTGATGATTTTTACAAAGTTGAACTGCTACAGAATTTGTAGAACTAATCTAGAATTTCTACCTCATGTATATTCTCTCACTCAAATTCTAAAAGAAAGAGACTGTTGCTCTCTTATCTGCTTATCATCCAATATCAGATATACAATAAATCTTAATGGACAATCTGTTCTATAATACAAAATCATCATAGTTATGATTTTTTTTCATATTTTGAAGTGGTCGAATTAAGAAACTGCCTGGTCCAAGGTAGAAATGAGCAAGTTACTTTGTTTAAAAACAGTTTTGCCTCCAGAAAATTACCCATAGGTGACTTCATCATGGACCAGAATATTAAGAAAATTAATCTCATATGTAACCTCATGCTAAGAAAATAAACACATCAGCCTGGCACAGTGGCACATGCCTGTAATCCCAGTGGCTCAGGAGGCAGAGACTGGAGGATCACAAGTTCCAGGCCAGCCTCATCAACTTAGTGAGATTATAAGCAACTTAGTGAGACTCTGTCTCAAATAAAAATTAGAAGGGCTGGGAATGTGGCTCAGTGGTAAAGGCCCCTGGGTTCAATCCCCAGTACCAAAAAATAAAAGGAAAGAAAAAAGGCATATCATCTACAACACACTCAACTTACATGAATTAAAGATACTTGTATTTAATTCTTCTATTGAAAACACTTCACTCTGGCCTAGGACAATCTCCATCTTCAGTGTTAATAATCAGATATCCTCTTTCTCTGGTAGTGTTGATCAAATTCTTGGAAAAGGGCAAATCACATCAGATAAGAAGAGCCGAGAAAAAATAACGGCAGAACATGAGACCACAGATGACCTCAGTATGCTCGGCCGGGTGGTCAAAGTTGAAAAACAGGTACAACTCAACCACACTAATTAACTTCTAAGCCAGATTTTTTTTATCAAAATAGATTATAGGCAACTGGATCTTTTGTAATGATTGACATATTTATAAGGAATGAAAATAGGGCAAAAGAGGTTGCTTGGTAGTAAAGCACTTTCCTAGTATGTATACACCTAGGGATAAGGGATAGATAGATAGATAGATAGATAGATAGATAGATAGATATTCTCTTAAAAATACATATATATATTATTTTATATATATTTTCCACAAGGCATATAGATAGATATTCTCTTAATAATACATATATATTATTTTATATATATTTTCCACATATATGGAATATATAGTTTATATATTTATATATATAAAGGAAAAAAAATAAATGAACAAAATAAAGAATGAATGATGTTAAACTTCCTCAGTACAATGACAGTATTCTCCAAAACATCTCTTTGGATTTCCATATAAAGAATATAAAATTTTATCTCATTGATTAATACTTAACTGGAAGCAACTATAGATTTCAGTAGTAAAATAGCAAAGATCTACTTGTCCTTTGTGTTTTGGTCATTTTTATTGGCCTTTAGATCACTCTTTTTAAAAATAAGGTAGAACCTGTGATAACACATTGAATTTTTGGTAACCCAGAGTGTAATCTTCTCATATAAAAACAATTTTTCAGGGCTGGGGATATAGCTCAGTTGGTAGAGTGCTTTCCTTGCATGTATAAGGCCGTGGGTTCAATCCCCAGAACCACAAAAAAAAAAAAAAAAATCCAGAAATCAAATTGTCCTCCCAAAAGAATCATAAATACTCCAAGTATTAATCCTGAAGCATTTTGTGCCTTTATTTTTAAACTCAGACTCACCTGGATTGATACTTAGGTCTTAATTTCACTATAGAATAAATTCCTTATTAAAATGCAGTCAAGTTCCAGAAAGTGGATCAATGGGGCTGGGAAAGGCAATCTGACTGGGATGGGCAACCTTAAAGTCACATTTTTATAGTGCTTATATACCTTTTCAGAACACCAATCATCCATTTTAAGGAAGTGGAGGGGGCTGGCCAATGGAAATTATATGGAAGCCAAAGTATCTCTCCCCCCTTTCAACCTTCCCTGCCCCATCACTGCCAGATGCTACATTCATTGAGTCCAAACTGCATTTCACTTTACACTCTATTTATTTATTTTGTATTGACACACTCTGTGATTTTAATTCCAGAAGTGAGATTCATTCTTCACAGCAGGTCGTCCTCATATGTAACCATTTCCCTCCTTTTAGGTCCAGTCCATTGAGTCCAAGCTGGACTGCCTGCTAGACATCTACCAACAGGTCCTCCGGAAAGGCTCTGCCTCAGCCCTCACTTTGGCTTCATTCCAGATCCCATCTTTTGAATGTGAACAGACATCTGATTATCAAAGCCCTGTGGACAGCAAAGACCTGTCCAGTTCGGCGCAGAACAGTGGCTGCCTAACCAGATCAGCTAGTGCCAACATCTCCCGAGGCCTGCAGTTCATTCTGACGCCAAATGAATTCAGCGCTCAGACTTTCTATGCGCTTAGCCCTACTATGCACAGTCAAGCAACCCAGGTGCCAATGAGTCAAAGTGATGGCTCCGCAGTGGCGGCCACCAGCAACATTGCAAACCAAATAAATGTGGCACCCAAGCCAGCAGCCCCAACAACTTTACAGATCCCGCCTCCTCTCCCAGCCATCAAGCATCTGACCAGGCCAGAGACTCTGCACCCAAACCCCGCAGGCTTACAGGAAAGCATTGCTGACGTCACCACCTGCCTTGTTGCCTCCAAGGAAAATGTTCAGGTTGCACAGTCAGATCTGACAAAGGACCGTTCCCTGCGGAAAAGCTTTGACATGGGAGGAGAAACTCTGTTGTCTGTCCATCCCATGGTGCCCAAGGACTTGGGCAAATCTTTGTCTGTACAAAACCTGATTAGGTCGACAGAGGAACTGAATTTACAGCTTTCAGGGAGTGAGTCAAGTGGCTCCAGAGGCAGCCAAGATTTTTACCCCAAGTGGAGGGAATCCAAATTGTTTATAACTGATGAAGAGGTGGGTCCCGAAGAGGTAGAGACAGACACTTTTGATGCCACCCTGCAGCCAGCCAGGGAAGCTGCTTTTGCATCAGACTCTCTAAGGACTGGAAGATCCCGATCATCTCAGAGCATTTGTAAAGCAGGAGAAAGTACAGACGCCCTCAGCTTGCCTCATGTCAAACTGAAATAAGCTCTTTGTTTTCTTTCTAGGCATAGCAGTTCCTTTAGCCATACATATCATTGCATGAACTCTTTTGAAAGCCCTCCTAAAAAGTTGAAATTGCAAGAATCAGGAAGAACATGAAAGGCAGTTTATAAGCCCGTTATCTTTTAATTGCATGAAAATGCATGTTTAGGGATGGCTGAAATTCCGAGGTGCATCGACATTAACCCACTCATTTAGTAATGTACCTTGAGTTTAAAATCATCAGAAACCAAACACTGCTAATGCTATGGGGTATATGAAAACGTCAAGATTAGGTGATTTACAAGTTTCAACACTGTACTTTGAAATTGTGGAAGAAAACACTTTCAAATTTCAGGCATTTCTGCTTTGTAACTAAATACGAAATACATTTTCAAAATTAGGCCATAATGTGTATTTAAACATAATGGCTCTCAATAGCTGCTAACAAGGTATCAAGTAAAACAGAATTTGGGAATAACAGAAATGGCTGCTTATTTCAAGATATATTTGCCAACCCATTTCTATTCAGTCATTTTATTATTAATGTAATTTAAGTGTCAGTTTGTACGCTTTTGGTGATTTAGCGCTGTGGCAAGCAATTTTGCACATTATTTTCATGTTGTTCTTTATGACAAGAATGTTTTTCATTTAGAAAATGTGCAAATAATGAAATTCAGGACCAGCAGGGCAAATAGACTCACTATCTGACATATTTGACTTTATGGAAACATATTCCCTGATGGCAGATTCAACTCTATATGAGTAGTCAGCTTCTATACACATGCATGAAACACTGATGAGTAGAATAGCCAGTGTGACTGGGCATCTCTGCAATGGCACCAACCCCAGGTTTGCCAATCCTGGCCACGTGAAGGGCAAGTGTGAGGAGCTATTGCCATTTAGCCGACACACAGGTAGGACCCTGGGGAAGGGGACAGTTAAGTGGAACTGAGAGAAAAAAAAATGCTTAAAAAGAAGCCAGAAATAACACCAGGAAGTAGACAATGTTCAGAAAATTACTTCTCCCTTAAAAGGCAGTGAGAGGGAAGGAGAGAAACAAACCAAAATAAAAGAAATCAATTTTTTGGATAATGAGTATTGCTAGGGAATTCAACTGCCTAAGCATCTCTTATTCTTATATAGAAACAGAGAATTTTGCAAGTTATTTATTTTTTAATATACCCTGAATGTCTTTTGCTATTATGTATTACATTTTTGCATATGAAAGGCTAAAACTAAAGGTTCCTTTACTTTTTATACTGTAGTAAACACTTTGTATTGTCCCTGAGAATGTTGTCCCAAATCTGAAATTACCAGTTTGGTTTCCTTGTATAAACATTCACAATTAAGAAGCCAGATAGCACTGCCGGGTCTGCTGATCACCACACTTTATAATATATCAGTGCAGCAAAAAGATCAAGGAAAGGAAATTTAAAATGCATTTAACAGAAAGTGAAAAATGGCCAGGTGCTGTGGCACACCGTATTCCCAGCAACTCAAGAGGCTGAGGCAGGAGGGTCGAAAGTTCCAGGCCAGCCTCAGCAATTTAGTGTGGCCCTAAGCACCTTAGTGAGACCCTGTCTCAAAATAAAAAAAAATTAAAATAACTAGAGATGAGGCTCAGTTGTAAAGTGCCTCTGGGTTCAATTCCCAGTACAAAAAAAGAAAGAAAGAAAGAAATGCAGGCTGGTTTTTAGAAACCTAGCTCTCTCAGATGGTCGGAACCTGGGCCAAAGGCAAAGAGAGGTAAAAGAACATTTCAAATCAGTTAAACTCAAGAACGGAAAGGAAGAGCTTTTCCCTTGGCAAACCTCTGAGCTGCCTCCAGGCAAACTTCTCCAGCAGCCAGGGAAAATGACCAGGAATAGTAACTGGCCATTCAAAGAAAAGAGGCCCTGAAATCCAGCAATCCTTCCCAAGTCGCCCCTAGCAGAAGCTTCTCTATCACTGACTATCTTTTCTTCTTCCTGGATTGCTTATTTATTCCTACCACTATTTTGCTTTGAAATTTCACTACGCCTTACCCAGCACCCATCCCCAAGTAAACCAGTTCTGCTCTCTACCTAAAAATGCTTTTCAACATTTTTAAAATTTTTGTCCCTTTTGATAAACACTGAAATTTTAAAAGCTTCCTCTTCTCACCCCACTTGGATCCTAATACAATCCCTTGGAGTGTATCATTCAGAAACTTCTTGGCTACTGGAGATACCCAGAAGATAGAATCTAAATTTTACACTCCAGTTAAAAATATTTTGTCAAGCTTTGAAGGTTATTATTTTCATTTTCCAAACATAGAATGTTAGTCAATTATTAAATGCAAATTTTCATCTACCCTTGTCTCTACTCAACCTGAAATTCTGACATATCTTCCCAAGGACATTGCACACACACACACCCATCCACAGACCTAAAGCCAGACACCTGCCCTGTACTCAGCAGATTCTCTCCAAATATTAGCAGAGGAAGAAGAGGGAGGCAGAACCTTTCAGGTAGCACTGATTCTTGGACATACTCTGTCCCAGGTTGAACCCCACTGGCAGCAGGAATTCTGAATGTATCAGGGACCCCTTCTTAGGCCTTCTTAGGCCTCGAACACAGAACAGTTGATCCAGCATTGCTAAAGACTGAAGATTCAGAAACAATGCCTAAACACATCACTGAGGTCTTAATCATAGCAAAATGTGATAAATTATATTGTGGAAAACTTTTATGCATCGAAGCCATGACCATTTTGTCTATCTTACTCTCGCACAAAGAAAAAATCTCTTGGATGTTAAGATAGTTGTATAATGTGAAAACTGTAGATTGTCTGTTGTGTCACTCTATGGAAATGAGAAGGGTCTCCCATTTACACTTAGCAAAACCCCATTGGTCAATCCCAAATGGTGTCTTGAAGCACAATTTTGCTGAGTACTGAGTAGCCACAAGCTTTCTCAGTTCAGGTTTGTCAGCCTTCTTCAACATGTAGGCTTGATCAAGCTAATAATTAATTGCAAATATCCCATGTATGATGTTAATTAAAAATTTTTGCTATGTCTTATCTAAATGTTTGCATTTTGTTCAATTAAATTGATATCTGTAGATTGCAAGTTTTGTTTAAAGTAAGACACTTTCCTCAGTTTTTAAGTCATTATCTCTTATTCTAAGGTGCCTTTCTCACCTCCCACTGACTCAGTGATTTCGAAAGTTCTTAATTTGAAAGTCAAACAAGCCTAATAATGAGAAGGAAATCAGGCACTAAGTGATTATGTCTCCTACCCATATGAAAAGCAAACCGCAAAGAATGAAGAAACCTGGGCGACTAAATATATGGATCACTTCATTCAATCACATTGAGGAAATATTGCAGATATTAACTTAACTCCCCAGAAGCTGATATTTTTTGCCTTAAATGACATGGTTGTGTTTTTGTAAGAGAAACTTAATATAATTATGTGCATTTAAGTGAGCAATTCTAAAAGTCATGTACGACAATGCAATTGTCTGTTTCCTGAAAACAAATAAATCAGGAATATGGTATCCATTTCAAGCTATCATTAAAATGTAATTTCCTTTGCTCTCTTTTACTGGGATTATTTGTCTTAAAGTAAAACATTAAAAAGATATCTATAAATGGCTAGTGTAAACATTTTATCTGGAACTAACTGGTTGGTTCTGATCTCATTGATCCAAGTTAACCAAACTGACTACAGTTTTGGTACTGAAATATAAAAATTAGCCTTTTGTAATGTTGCTAAAGAAATCATTGGTAATTTGAAAATGGAGGAGATTTTCATGTGCTCTTTAGAGTATTATAAGAAAAAATTCATTTGCTATAGATCACGTAAGCTTTGTGTTAATTACAAGTTGAGTATCCCTTGTCTAAGATGTGTGAGACCAGAAGTACTTTGGATTTTGAATTTTCTCAGATTTTGGAATATTTGTATATACATAATGATACGTCTTCAGGATGAGATCCAAATCAGAACATGAAATTCATTTATGTTTTATATATACCTTATATGTAAAGCCTGAAGATAGTTTTATACAAATTCTTTTTTTTTTTTTTGTACTGAAGATCAAACCAAGGGCCTTGCAAATTCTAGGCAAGCATTCAAGCATTCTACCATTGAGCTATATCCCCAGCTTTTTACAAAATATTCTTAATAATTTTGATAACAAAACAAGGTTTCATGATATGGAATTTATATAAGTGCTCAAAAAGTTTTGATATATTCTGGATTCAAGCTTTCAGATCAGGAATTTGCAGGGGAGGGGCATGCTGTGGATTGAACTCAGGGATGTTTTACCACTGAGCCACACCCCCAGTCCTTTTTATGTTTTATTTTGAGACAGGATCTCATCAAGTTGCTTAAGACCTCCCTAAGTTGCTGAGGCTGGCCTAGGACCTGTGATACTCCTGCCTCAATCTTCTGAGTTATTGGGATTGCAGTTGTGTGCCACCACAGCCAGCCAGATTAGGGATATTTAACCTGAGTGATAAAAAGGTTTGCTAAACAAGTGATAAGAAATGGAAACCAGGTGAGTGCCCAAATTCTGCCATTTCTGGTTACTAAGAACTACTATTTTTAGTACCTAACCCTGTCTTACCAGGGAAGGCTCCTGCTCCAAATGGGACTATACCCCTGTTATTTCTGTTGTGCTAACAACTTTCTGCTAGATGGCTAGGATTAATTCCGGTGGAATTATTCTCAAGAAGTCCCAGGATACTGGAACTCTGAGTCCAAAGCCAGAAAGCTCTAACTGGTGTTATAGACAGGGGGAAGAACAACAAGGGACTACTACCTTGAAGGAGGAAGGAGTTTCCCATTATGGCTCTAAAAAGATCAGAGGTGTGCCTGTTCAATCAATCTCTAGACAAGTGAAAATAAAAATGTGTACAGAACATGCTTGCTTGACCAACTTGTAAATGCAAACTGATTCCAAACATTTTTAGAACTACTTTGTAAACAGTAACATCCAGCCCTAACTCTTAAAAGCAAAACATATTTTACCCCAACCATGGATTTAAAAAAGTGTAGGTTTCTAGACCTTAAAGTGGCAATTTTTATTAGCCTGGTTTCAAGTGCCTCAATAATCAGACACAATTATTTCTTTAAAAAAAAATAAATTTTCATTAGCTATAACAATACTTCTCCCTCTCACCAACCTAATTCCATATTATTGAGGGTTTTATTATATTTCAAAGCAGATGTTTTTCAAATACATTATATGTACTGCCCTGGAAATCACAGCACCATAAAACTGTCAAGTGACAAAATTTTTCTTTTCAAATAAATAGAAAAACCCAAAAGAACATTGGTTTAATATGTTATTCTGCCCACTCATGGTTCATGTCAGTTCTGCCATAATTTGGGATGACTACTGGAAGTACATATGCTCTTGAAGAGATGTCAGGGTTCTACGGCTCCCATATGTGGTAAGAGCACTCCTACTTTTAAACATTTCCACCATTATGCTTTTTCTCTTACCTTAAGTGACTTTGCATACTAGCTTTTTCTTCCTTCTCTTTGCCTGCATTGTTATGACTGGCTTCATAGATTTCCAATCCCTGCAGATCCTTATAATCCCAAATAACTAGGCATTCACATTCTCCTTGCTGCAGCTGGCAGGGCCACTTGCCCTAACATACAGCATGAGAATGGCATGCCACATAGACTCCAAAAGCAGAGATGCTTTGGGGAACCAATGGAACTCCTCACCTGAACCCTCAGGGTAATGCTCTGATGCCCTCTCCTGTTTCCAGACATCCCACTGCTGGGTGGCAGGGGAGGCCTCCATCACTACTCCAGGATGGGAACTCTTTGCCTTTAGAAGAGACTATTTCTGCTCTTGGGTTCCCAAGACCATGGTTGTCCCATTAGCCTTTCCCATTCCCATTGTTGCAGCATCTAGCTCTCGCTCTTTCCCCTCATATGCTTAGCCTCTGGTTACCAGCAACTTTCCAGTCTCCTCCCTTCTGCTTCATTGTACTCTATACCTCATCTTCACACAGCTCTGTAACTAGTAACAGCATTTCAGTTAATGACGAACCACATATACCACAGTGGACCCATAATATTTAAATGCAGCTGAAAAATTTCTATCACCAATTGACATCATAACCATAATAATGTGGTAGCTTAATGAATGCATGTTCATGGTGATGCCAGTATAGACAAACCTAATGCACTGCCAATGGTACAAACGTATAGAGCATACAATGAGGAATAGTACATAACATTTGAGAATGATAATAAACAACTACATTACTAATTCATGTATTTACTATATTAAACTTTTATTATTATTTTGGAGTATACTTCTATTTATAAAAATGTTTACTATAAAACACTGCTATATGATAATTCAGCAGCCTCAAATATGTTCTGTTTACCATATTTTTTGGTTGCATCAAAAGGCCACATTGAATGAGTAATAATAAACACATCCTGTGATGTATGCATGATGAAATTACCCGATAGCCATTTCTTAAAACTTAAGCCATCATTCCAGGTGTGGTAGCACATGCCCATAATCCCAACAACTCAGGAGCCTGAGACAGAAGAATTGCAAGTTCAAGGCCAGCCTGGGAACTTAGTGAGACCTTGTCTCAAAATAGAAAATAAAAAGGACTGGGATGTAGCTGGGTGGTAGAGTACCCCTGGGTTCAAACCCCAGTATCAAAAAAATCCCATCATGAAGGTATGTGTGACTGTGCTTATAAAATAAATGATAGAAGGAACTTTCATTTCCACAGCATCCATATACTAAACATGGCAGTCAGACTCATCCCCACCCTTCACCACAGAAAAACTGCTTTATGAATTCATCCACGATCTTCTACAAGTTGATTCACTGGACACTCACCCTTTGAGGTCTTTCTATAGTAGTTGACACCATAACAAGAGCTGGAGATGTAGCTCAGAGGTAGAACACTTGCCTAGCATGTGCCAGGCCCTGGGTTCAACTCCTAGCAGTGCAAAAAAAAAAAAAAAAGAAGAAGAAGAAGAAGAAGAAGTAAGTTGACACCACAACTCACAACTACTCTTTATCTTAAAACGCTCTCATCTTTCTGAATGAAAGTTGTCTCTAAATATAAAGGGGGGAAAATGTTTTTCTGTTCTCTCACTCAACAATTCACACAGAAGGCTCCTATTTCTCCCCACCAACAACCAATCAATCCATTCTGCAGTGGACACCAGCTGAGCCTCTTCCAGTTCTACTTAGTAGAATTCCAGTCACCCTGGAGATAGCATCAGATCCCACAAGCTGACAGCTCAGTTCCACAGGACTACCCCCCGCTTCAGACGCTCATCACAAGTAATAGTGCCATAGGTTAAAACTTACACCTGCTATAGACTGGAATTCCTGCTACCCTGCCCTTAGGTTTCACTAATTCACAAAAGTCAGAGAAACAATTTATTTACATTAGCTAATTTATTTTAGTGGATATTCCAAAGAATGCAGTTGCCAGTTTATTTTAGTGAATATTACAAAGAATGCAGAAGAAGAGATTCATAGGACCAGGTTATGTGGCAAGGTAAGAAAACTCCTCCAAGAATCTCCATATGCTTGGCTCTCCACCATGTCCCAAAACTCAATCGTTGTGGGTGTTTTTGTTTTTGTTTTGTGGGGAGGGGCATAACAGGGATTGAACTCAGAGGCATGCAACCACTGAGCCACATCCCCAGCCCCATTCTGTATTTTACTTGGAGACAAGGGTGTCACTGAATTGCTTAGCACCTTGCTTTTGCTGAGACTGGCTTTAAACTCACAGTCTTCCTGCCTCAGCCTCCAGAGCTGCAACGCCCAGCCAATCCTTGGCTTTTTATGGAAGCTTTATTACATTATGTAGACCTGATTGATTGATTGAATGCTTGGTCTTTGGTGATCAGTTTAACCATTAGCACCCCTGGGGATGGAAAGGGAAATTAAAAATTCCAACTATCTAATCTCTCTTGTCCTTTTCTGCCACCAGTCCCCACCCTAAACTATCTAATCCTATCTTCATCTTCTTATTAGTATACAGAAAACACTACTGGGCACAGGCATGTAATCCCATCAACTAAGGAGTCTGAGGCAGATTGCCTCATCAATAAAAGGGACTAGGGATTCAGCTTAGTAATAGAGTACCCCTGGTTTCAATCCCTAGTACTGAAAAAAAAATAAAAATAAAGATAAAACACCCTCACTGTGGAGATTCCAGTGTTTCAGGAGCTGTATGTCAGGCAACCACTGGACAAAGACCAATATCAGAGTCCCCTACGTCTCTGGCTTGCTCATCTTTGACTTCTCCAAGTTCTTTATTGATCTTTGGCTCGGGACAGTCTGCATTCAGTGGATTTCATTTCAACGTCTTCTCTTTCCTCCTCACACTCATACTCTCCCCAGGGGTCTCACCCATGACCTCAACTATGAGATGATCTTAGCTAGTCATGAGTCTCCAGCTCAGATTTCCCTCCTGCTCATACATAGCTTCATTAGAACACAGTGTCACCTCAAAAATCCTAGGGCAAGATGATTTGAGAGCAGGAACATTATATTCACAAGGTGCCTTTTGGCTTCTCACACTGCCTGCAAAAGGCACTCTATATGTTAAAGAATAAAAGTATCTTATTGGCTCAGGGCTTTTTATTCAGCTCAACTACTTCCAAACTCTTAAATTCAGAGGCCTTCAGCCAAGTGATTGTTGTGAGCAGCTTACTTGAATAATAACTCAGAGGCGGATATCCATCCCCAGCAAAAAATTGTCACACCCCTTAGATGACACCCACACCTAGACTTTGCCCATTAATCAAGAAGACTGATTACCCCCCAGACTTTTCTGTAGACTCTAAAGGAAAAGGGAGACTATTCTTCCTTCCCCTGCCCCTGAGCCCTAGAACACTACATTCCTGCTTCCCCCTTCTCTTGGCTCTTTCCTACCAGGGCCAGGCCCATCCTATGGAGTCTTGGCTTACAGTAACAACCCATGCCTAGTGACAGCCCCGTATTATGTCAATACGTGATTCCCAGTTATTTTCTCACTTGATCCATCTTACCAAAGGTTAATGCACCAGTTAGGATGGATTTGGCTATAGGTATAAAATAAAAAACAAAACAAAAAAAAAACCCTGGCTGAAAACATGTGGTAGCATATGTTTTCATATGGTAGCACATGCCTGTAATCCCAGGGACTCTGAGGCTGAGGCAAGAGAACTGCAATTTCAAGGCCAGCCTGGGCAACTTAGAGAGGTTCTGCCTCGGGTGGCTAAGGCAAACTTTAACTGAAACCTGGAGGAAAAGGAAGACATGGCCAGGAGCACTCTTGAGCAGGATGCTGGTGCCTGGTATGGAAAAGATGTTTAATGAATGGTTGTGGCCCCATGCTACTCTGGAGGTGAAATTTGTGCCTTGATATGGCAGACGGTGCCTTCTGTCTTTGGTTCTACAAGGATGACCTTCCAGACAGTCTTTTTCTTATCTAGGGACTTTCTTATATTCTTATACTAGAAGTCCAAGCGGAGTACAGTTTGCTCAATTACATCAACAAGATTCCAGGTTCTTTCTGTCTATGTTGTTTCCTTATCAGTAAATATAGTATTAGTGTAGCACAGAGCTGTGGGGTTGGGTTTTGTTTTGTTTTGTTTTGTTGATACTAGGGATTGAGCCCAGGGGAACTCAACCACTGAGCCACATCCCAAGCCCTATTTTGTATTTTAATTTAGAGACAGGATCTCACTGAGGTGCTTGGCACCTCACCATTGCTAAGGCTGGCTTTGAACTTGCACTCTTCCTGTCTAAGCCTCCTAAACCACTGGGATTACAGGCATGGGCCACTGCGGAAAATCAAAATTTCAAGGCCATCCTCAGCAACTTAGTAAGGCACTAAGCAACTTAGCTGACTCAGTCTCTAAATAAAATATTTTTAAAAGGGATGGGCAAAAGAAACAATCAATGAGTGACGAGAGAGCCTACAGAATGGGAGCAAATTTTTACCTCCCATACACCAGATAGAGCACTAATCTCCAGGATATATAAAGAACTCAGAAAACTTAACATCAAAAAAACAAACAACCCAATCAATAAATGGGCTAAGGAACAGAACAGACACTTCTCAGAAGAAGATATACAATCAATCAACAAATATATGAAAAAATGTTAAACATTTCTAGTAATTAGAGAAATGCAAATCAAAACTACCCTAAGATTTCATCTCATGCCAATTAGAATGGCAGTTATCAAGACTATAAGCAACAATAATTGTTGTCCAGGATGTGGGGGAAAAGGCACACTCATACATTGCTGGTGGGACTGCAAATTGGTGCAACCAATCTAGAAAGTAACATGGAGATTCCTTTAAAAACTTGGAATGGAACAACCATTCGACCCAGCTATTCCACTCCTCAGTCTATACACAAAGGTCTTAAAATCAGCATACTACAGTGGCTCAGCCACATCAGTGTTTATAGCAGCACAATTCACAGAAATCAAACTGTAGAGCCAACCTAGATACCCTTCAATAGATGAGTGGATAAAGAAATTGTGGTATATATACATAATGGCATATTGTTTAGCAATAAAAGAGAATAAAATTATGGCATTTGCCAGTAAATGGATGGAATTGGAGAATAGCTTGCTAAGCAAAATAAGCCAATCCCAAAAAATCAAAGGCCGAATATTTTCTCTGATAAGTGGATGCTGATCCATAATGGAGGAGGCATGGGATGAGTGGAGGAATTTTGGATTGGCCAAAGGAGAGGGAGGGATAGGGAGGGAGCAGGGGGATAGGAAAGATGGTGGAATAAAACAGATATCATTACCCTAGGTACATGTATGATTGCACAAATGGTGTGACCCTACTTTGTGCATAACCAGAGAAGTGAAAAATTGTGCTCCATTTGTGTACAATGAATAGAAGAGCATTCTGCTGTCATGTATAACTGTTTAGAACAAATATTTTTTTAAAGGGGGTGCTGGGGATGCGGCTTAGTAGTTAAGCACCCTTGGGTTCAATCCCTAGTACCAAAAAAATTAAAAATCCCTAGTACCAAAAAATTTTAAAACTACCTAAGGTAGTTACTATTATTATCTTCATTTCATAGATGAGAAAAATCAATGCACTGTGAAATTAGTAACTTTCCAAAGATCATAAAGTTATTTAGCGGCAGAGTTAGGATCTAAACTGCATGTAGTCTCACTCCAGTATTGGAGATATCAAATCTTAGGTTAACTCCTAGGCTCTGACATTTCAGAAACCATTAGAAGTCAGAATTACAACCTGGAGAAAATAAATGTTAATTTGATAATTACTGGTTTGAAACTTAATTGAAGGAACAAATACTCTTTCTGCAAGCTTTTTTGTTTGTTTGTAACTGGGGATTGAATGTTGAGGCACTTTACCAGTGAACCACATACCCAGCCCTTTTTATTTATTTATTTTTTAGACGGGTCTGACTAAGTTGCTTAGACCTTTGCTAAATTACTGAAGCTGGCCTGGAACTTGGGATCTTCTTTCCTTGGTCTCCTGAGTCACTGGGATCACAGGAGATCACCACCACACTCAGCTTCAGGCATTTTTTTAAGAAGTTTTTTCTCTACTTTGTGAACACACGAAATTTTAAATTGCCAATTAAGAAGTAAATATGACATTTCCTTTGAGAATAATGTGGTTTGGTTGTTCTTTTCCTCCAGTTAGATTGGTTGTTGTTGTTGTTTACTGTGAATCTGATCTAACTTTTGTTTAGCAACTGGCCATGTAAAAATCATATAGTTTGCCAGATTTGGTGGCACATGATTATAATCCCAGCAATTTGGTGAGCTGAGGCAGGAGGATCACAAATTTAAAGCCAGCCTGGGCAACCTAGCAAGAGCATCTCAAAATAAAGTTTTAAAAACGGCTTGAGCTGTAGCAAAGGCCTCTGAGTTAATCTTCGGTACCAAAAACAAATAATTTTTTTAAATAAAAAATAAAGCATGTAGTTAGCATTTTTAAAAAATACATATTTTTAGTTGTAGATGGGCACAATACCTTTACTTATTTTTATTTTTATGTGGTGCTGAGGGTGGAACCCAAGCCTCACAAGTAACAAACAAGTGATCTCCCACTGAGCTACAACCCCAGTCCATAATTAACATTCTTGTTGTCTTCAAAATATATTCCAAATTCCACCACTTCTTGACATTTCTACTACTCCACTCTGGTCCAGGACAACACTGCCTTTCCTCAAAAACTGCAATGGCTTTTGTAGAAGATAGACTCTTGGAGAAGGAACAGGTTTGACAACGAAATGTTCAAGAAAAGGCATGTTTAGCTTGCCATAACCTTGGACGGAGAGATCCAAATGTATTTTGGCATTCAAGAGAAAGTTCTGAGGTAGAGATTCAGAAAGACTTATTAGTCAGCTCATTCATACTTCGAAGGACCTCAGAATCCTTTGTTCCTAGAAAACCACCCCCCTCGAAGCCCACCTTCAAAGCTTCTGGCGGTCAGGGACAATGCTGGCTACCTCATGTTCACCAGGCTTGGCTGGGTGGTCCCCTTGCCTGTTCTACCAGGCAGTGAAACTGAGAACATCTTTGGTTTCCATCTGGACCTCCCAACTTCTCACTCTCCCCTTTTGTTTGCATTTTAAATTCAGAAGACTCCTAAGCCTTCCAGGAAGATCCCTTCTTTTCAGAAGCCCTCCCCACCACGCCCCTCCCTCCACTGTCCCTCCCCCTTCCCGTTTTTTATTCATCTAAGAGCCTCTGGTCTGAGGAAAGCAGTTCATTGAAAGATGTCTTATATCTGGCTTTTTCCCTGGGCTGGGCCTCCCAGAGGCTGTGGAAGCCACCCACAGCTCAGCACCAGGCTGAGACTAGACCCTACTAGACTAGATAAGCTTATCCAAAAAAAAAGAGGCAAAAGCATTACATATTAGGTAGCATGCTTTATTAGATATCTTTGCCAGTGGAAAGCTTTCCAGCATTTAGGAAACTTCCTTCAGATCCACACCTAGAAGCTTGAGAGATGAGATGAGCCACAAATCAAAACTTCTATCAGTCTTTCATGTTTTTCTCAACAGGGCTAAAATAAGACTTCTCACATCTCAGCTTCCCAGAAAGTCAGTCCTTTATTATGGATACAGATAATTCCAAAACAACCTAAAATAACCATGAAATTGGTAAGGGGAACCCTGAGATGGCCCCACTCATTCTGACGGCCAATGATAGGCACAAGGTATCTGATTCCACGATGGTGGTGCCAATCAGTTCCTGATTGGTCAGGGGCTGGCTCCGGACACGCCGTAACATCTCCAGGCCTGTGGAGGAAATAGTTAGAAATAGTAAAGTAGAGCTCATTACTAGGGGGCTGCAGTGCAGGTGAGGACAGCCCACAGGAGCATTATGGGAAAGACAGTCATCTTAACCCAGGCCCCCTCAGACAACCCATTCATGCCTCCTCACTACCTTTTCCTCCCTCAGTGACTTCAAGTCACAAAAATGGTGTGACTTTGTCCCTCCACTTGTAATGAACTCTGGGGAGCACCTAGATTCCCAACCACCTGAGCAATCCTTCAATGCCACAAAACTCTACCAGGACTATCACTTCATTCTTAACCACAATTTAGTAAGGATACCTACCTTGGTCCTGACAGAATGAATCCCGGCTCCCCAAACTCCGGATCATACTTAGCAGCCACTTTCTTGCTCTAGGTGGTCCAACGACTATAACTCGAGTCTGGCCTGTGGCTGTGAACCACGGCTCCAGCTGAATGAGGGTGTGGCTGTGCACCTCAATACTATGAAGGTATTTATCTCCTTGACCTGTGAACACAGGAGGGGAGAGACAGGAAAAGTAAACACCCTGTACTGGGTGAGACAAAGAGGTGGCCTTAAGAGTAGGGACCTGGGACGGACAGAGGAGGAGAGAGAAAGGTTGGAAGGGAAGGATGGGGGAGGAGATGTGGGCAAGGGCTACCTACCGAATATGTGCTTCTCTAGGTCTTCTTCCATGTAAAATACCAGTGGAGAATGAAAGTTTTCAGGTAAGGTCCACCACGCTTTCTTGCCAAGAGTGCTCATTTCCAAATGGTGCACTGCTCTTCTTGATTCAGAGTAGAGCAAGTCCAAGCAACTGGCTGGAAAATGTGAAAAAGGCCTGGACCCTGTGCTATATATGGGCACTCAAACAATCCACCCCCTGACACACCCTAGGGTGGATCTCCTGTTACTGTAGCCTTGTGGAGAAAATCCAATCCAGCAATATCTCATTCAGGTCTTAATCTCTCCATTTGAAATTAGATTATCAATCAGTGCTTGCCTTGGCAATTCCCAGGGATCCAAAATTTTCTTATCTCTAATTTCAAAGGATTTTGAAGCAGATTCATTGAGCATCAATCAGGTCAGGGGTTGAGGGATGGAAGGTGCTAGAACAGGAAGTCTCCGAGTGGCTCCCTGAATTTTGACAGGTCTTGGCAGTCAACCAACAACTATACATGTGCAGACAAACAAAGCTGGGTTTATTTAGTGTGCTGTACTAGAGAATCAAAAGCCAATTTTCTAAAATGTGACAATTAGATAATTATCTTAGCAATCTTCATCTAGGAGGTAGAGAGATTGATGTAATCTGAATTGTAGAGTATTATCTTTACCTAGTTTCAAACAGTTTCAGAGTGGCCTTTGTCCATCAGGTTCCATCACTGTGACTAAGTGGTCGTGACTGGTTAAGCTATTTTTTAAGAGCCAGGTGCAATGGCAAACACCTGTGACCTCAACGATCTGTGAGGCTAAATCAGAAGAATCCCAAGTTTGAGGCCAGCCTGGGAAACTTAAACAGACCAACTTAGCAAGACCCAATTTCAAAGTAAAAAAAAAAAAAAAAGGTACTGGGTGTGGTGGCACATGCCTGTAATCCCAGCAACTTGGGAAACTGAGACAAGATTGCAAATTCAAGACTAGGCCTGGCAATTTAGTGAGACCCTAAGCCATTTAGCAAGACCCTGTCTCAAAATTTAAAAATCAAAAGGGCAGGGGGTTTTACTAAGTGCCCCTGGGTTCAATCCCCAGTACTGAAAAAAAAAAAAAAGTGAGATATTTATATTTACTAGGGAAGATTATCTATCAGCCTCAGACTGTAAATTCCTGCCTGTTTTTTCACTCTTCACCCTCCCCTTTTGGCCCAAAACAACAAAGTCAGGCTTCATGGTTTGAATTCGCCAGGTTTAGATCCACACCATTGTCAGAAGTCATTAACAAGGTTACTCAGAGAACCCAACCTACAGCGGTGTACAATTTTGTTGCAAAATGAGATATTGAATGATCTGAAAAGACAATGACTGCACAGGAGCATTCAGCATACTAAACACACTGATCACCTACATAGTCATTAAAAACTAAATGACTATGAATCCTATTAAAACACTGCAAACACATCAAAACCAGGCCAAGAAATCACATTCCCAAATCCATCTAGAGATCCAGGGCATCTTTTCTTTTAATGAAGCCACAAAACTGTCCGACCTGATCAATAATGTTCTAAGAATGTGCTGCAAACAGTGTTTGTGACCAAAGTTCTTGGCTAGCCAAAGGTTTTGCAATCACCCATAACTGCCTTGAAACTTAAGTTGAAACTAGTTTGTAGAGGTTGTGTCATTTGTAACTTCTGCTAAGGGCCAGAAACACGTTTTGGACCCCATTAGTTGCACTATTCCTGCCACTGGATTGGGAGCCGATGATCTCTCCTTGGAGCCTTCCTCCACAGTCCAGGCTTGCCTCATTTTAGGTAACTAAATATATTTCTCAGAAAAATATAGTTTCTTATAAGAGTAGGTGATTAAAATTGAAAAATATTTTTAAAGTTAATATGTTTTAATATTTATTAATAAAATAGTCAAAAAGCTGCATCATATCATATAAGATAGGTTTGTGTAGTGATCAGATGAAACCCTGATGTCCACATGAACTGTGGTAGTTTAGTGTTACACAAACTGTATGGGGGTAAAGTCTCACCTATCACAATGAGACTGGGGTGCTGGGTATGGTGGTAAATGCTTGGAATCTCAGTGACTCAGGAGTCTGAGGCAGGAGGACCAAAAATTCAAAGCCAGCCTCAACAACTTAAAGAAAGGACCTAAGTACCTGATCACGACTGTCTCAAAATAAAAAATAAAAAGGGCTGGGAATGTGGGTCAGTGGTTAAACACCGCTGGTTTCAATCTGTGGTACCAAGAAAAGAAAAGGAAAAAAAAAAATGTGTGTGTGGATGGATGGATAGATAGATAGATAGATAGATAGATAGATAGCCAATGAGAGTGAGGTGACCAGTAGTCCCTTAAATGTGAAGATTTCAAGAGTGGAGGCTGGGGAGTCACAGAAGATAACATACTAATGCTTCAAGGATGCCCCCCATTTTTTGTTGCAATAATGTCAGCAGAAGTACGTTATTTGGGGGTCAGTGTCCAATTTTGATAGAGTAAGGTTAAAATTAACCTTTAGGAAAATTCAAGTTACAGAGGGGCCCACAAAAGAGAATTTGCCTTTTAAACTGTGGAAAAGAACAATTACTAGATTTTTGTTAGTAGAATCAGATGATGGATGAAAAATTTATTAACCAGTTAGTTTTAAAACAATAGATAGAGTCTGATAAAAACACACAAGAAAGCTTTGCTCTTCCTTAGGTGAAGAAAAATACTAGAGTTAAGAATAATTATGAAGATTTCTGAAACACACTTGAAATTTTGTTGGCCTCTGGAAGCCACCAAAGAATGATAACAAGTAGAGCAAAAATTTTTAATTAGAAATTTTTTTTCTTGTTTTATTCTCTTGGGTAGAAATATCTGTTTGATGCCATCAGCTACTTGATCTTCTTCCAAAGTTTGTTTGTTTCTGAAAGATATTTAAGAAACTTCAGCTTATGGTTTCTGAATGAAGTATTTTCCACTGAGTCCAAGGGTAGATTTTCTCTGACTTTTAGAAGTTTAGTTTCTTCCCAAAGATTTAATCTCCAGATTTCTAATCATGCAGAGATTAATTATGTAAAATTTTAAGGAAGATTGTTTTTACTACTGATGAAGAAAATTAGTATTTAAAAATGGGATCTTGTACCACTCCTCAGTATTTAGCCAAAAGAATTAAAGTCAGCCTACTATAGAGTTGGGTGCATCTCCACGTTTATAGCAATGCAATTCACAAGAGTCAATTATGGAACCATCAACAATAAGTATCCACCAAAAATAAATGCATTTTTTATAATGTGGTATATATACACAATAGAGTTTTATTCAGCCATAAAGAAGAATAAAATTAAGTCATTTGCATGGATGGAACTTAAGAGCATATTAAGTTAAGTGAAATACAGAAGACTCAGAAAGTCAAATGTTGTGTGTTTTCTCTCATATGTGACACCTAGAGAGAAAAAAAGAATGATTTTAAGTAGAAGGGGAAACTCATGAAAGTATAAGAGAACAGGAAGGAAAGGAGAGGTACTGTGTGCCGCGTCCGGCCAAGGGAGCCGAGTCCGGCGAGGGACGGCGAGGTTAAAAGACACACAGGACACCAAGGTTCTTCATCCAGGAGTCAATAATAATCTTTATTGCTAACACACCTTTTTTTATACCCCAAGCAGCAGAAGTGGAAAACTACCCAAAAGCAGGAGGGAGGGGGGAGAAATTTAGTTTCAACATCTATTATTGTCAGGTACCGAAACCTCCCTTAACAATAAGTCCATCAGACCAGAAAAGGTCAAGGCATTCCCGTGGGATACATATGTCTCAGACGGATAAGCAGGAACAGAAAAACCGCAAGTTCGCCATGGCCTTGTGAGCTGGCCACACTGGCATGCAGAACAAACTAGTGGAGGTAGGGCTCCAGGGGCCAAGGTGGACCTGTTGCCAACAAGTCCCCCTCTTTGGTTTTTTGCATGTCAGTGGGAATCAAGTAGCCCCTGTCTTAGGTCGTTCACAGCCCTTGCGATGCTTACCCGTCTCTGGGAAGGCCCCGATTCCCTGGCTTAGGTCGCACAGCAAGCGTGAAAGTTGCCCGTCACTGGGTACTACAAGATCAGCTCAAGGTGTTATGACCTATCAAGACATTATTGCGGTGAACACTTAACCGTCTCCACCTACGGGACCCATGACCGTCACCGCCGAATGGCAGATGTGATTGGACCGAGAGATTAGACAGCAAAGATCCTAGTACAGGAAGACAAGAGGGAGAGGTATGCATAGAGAAAAGATATGGCAGGAGTTCTTCTTTTAAGGAGGACACTCATCTTTGGATCGGTCTGAAGTATATCTCAGAGGGGCGATCATCCATCTTCAAGCATTGATAGTGAACCTGTATCGGCTTAGAGGCTAAGATATTAATTTGATCCTTAATAAATTGTACTATCTTATTTACAATGCAGGGTCCTATTGCCACTACTAGAAGGAGGCCTAACAATGGTCCCAATAAGGGAAGAAGATAAGGCAAAAATCCATTAAGTCCAGTCCAGAGAGGGTTCTCAAATAATTCCCTCCTCCTTTTTTCTAGGTCTTTTTGGAGTTGTTTAATTTTTGTGCGAACTATGTCAGACTTGTTAGCATAAAAACAGCACCTCTCCCCAAGGGCTAAACAAATTCCCCCTTGATTGGCAATAAGCAAGTCTAAACCCCGCCTGTTCTGAAGAACTACTTCTGTTAGGGAGTCTATCTGGTCTTGTAAGTCTTTAATGGTTCCCGACAGGGTTTGCACATCATCTATAAGCTGTTGAGATAGGCGGCGGTAAGAATGTATAGCCGTACCCAATCCTGCCGTGCCTGTACCCACAGCAGCGGTTATTCCAAGGCCAACAAGGAGTGGTAAGGCCTGAACAGCTCTCTTGTGTCTTCTAACTAAGATGTCTAGGCTAGGAATGGGTAGGGGTTCATCTCCTGAGATAATTGTGATATCAGGAAGCAGTAATGCCAGAACACAACCACCAGTCCAATTTGCTGGGAGCCTGGGAAAAGCTAAATTTCCACCACACATAAAGACTGTACCATTAGGGGGACAAATGGGCGGAGTAGGTGAGGAGTAATTTTTTACTAATGAGCAGTTTCCAAAGGAAGAGACTCCAACATCAACATCATAGG